GCCAAGCCCCTGGACTTCGGGGACCGCGTGCTGGGGGCGGGGCTGGGAACCGGCTGCGTCTGGGGCTGGCTAGTAAATTGCATGTAGGGGGCAGGTCGCCGCGGATAGTCAAAGCTTAAACTTCTAGAGAAACGTGGAGACGCGTGAGGATTTCCATGTTGCTGTGACCAGGGTTTGGGTTCTGGGGTGGCCCCGACCCAGCGAACAGCCTGCGTAGTGGACGGAGTCCAGCCCCTGAATTCTCATCTTCGGCTTGCCCTTCTCAATTTCCTTGTTTGTAAAACGGGCAGAATGATGGAAGATGCCAGATCTCAGAGGTCGCAGCGAGTTCAGGTAGTCATTTCAGAGAGCTGGAAATAATGTCCCAGTAAAGATGGTTCCTGGCGACAGCAGCTTCGGTTAGCACCTTCCCACTGGGGACCAGGGTGTGGCCAACCACTTTGTTCCCGAGGCTGGGGTGGCCTGTGGTCTGGGGTGGGTGGGGCTGCTGACCTCTCCCTTCCGTGTCCCCCCTCAGAGGTGGCCTACGTTGGCACCCAGCACCCCCAGCACAAGGCGGCGGTGCTGCTGTGCCTGGCGGCGGGCAAGGCGGTGCTGTGTGAGAAGCCCTTGGGGGTGAACGCCGCGGAAGTTCGAGAGATGGTTGCCGAGGCCAGATCCCGGGGCCTCTTCCTTATGGAGGTGAGGGGGAGGTGAGGGCAGTGGGCCCTGCCAACACCTTGCAGTTCTGCTAACATTACTAAGCATGGCTGGCCGAGGAGCACGAAGACAGGGTCTGCCAGTGGTCAAGATGCTGGCCATCAGGGCTCTGGCCAGGATGTCTCGAATCTGCTGGCGCCATGTTCCAGGGGGACCTATTGCATTTGGCCCTTAGGAATCGTGGCAAGGTTTGCTTGGGTTGTTTGGGGTTTTGTCAGCCTTTCAGAAAAAGATACTAATAGTGACAGTGGCACACAGTGACAATGAACTTGGTTTTGGTACATTTTAGAAGGGCCAAGAAACCCCTTAACCACCTTCAATGTCAGGGAGCCTCTGGCCTAACTATAGGGGCAAGGGGATTGTCAGGAATAAAAATGGGCACCATAGGGCAATGAACAGTGCCAGCAGTTCAGGTGGCCACCGAGCAGCTCAGAAAAGCTAGCTCCATGTTAGGGATGATTATGAGGTTTGTTCGGGGTTTTGTTTTTTAGAGATTTTCACCTTAGGGCATGCACACTTGCCAGGTTGAGAGACAGACAGACAGACAGAAGGAAAGTGAGAAATCACTCCCCATAGGGGATGGCCACACCACAATCCCTTCTCCTTCATTCTTCTCCTAGGATTTTGGGCCTGCACACACAGGTGCCCAGCATGAGTTTCAAGCCACTGTATCTGAGACTTGAACTGCAGTTGGCCGTGTATAGGAGTCCAGCAACATAAGCCTTATACCATCTGCTGGCCCCGATTACGAGGGGTTTATTTATGATTTTTTTCCCTTTTTTTAAAAGAATTATTTATTTAATTTTATTTATTCATTGATTCATTTTAATTTGAACAAAGAGAGGGAAAGTGAGAAAACAAGCCACCAGGTCTGGGACTCGAACCGTGTTCAGCCATACGGGAGTGTCTAGAGCCTTAACCACCATGCCACTATATTTATTTATTTGGCACCCTATATTTATTTATTTTTTACATTTAATCACTGTACATATTTATAGTATACAAAATGAATTTTCCCAGCACAAATACACTGAGTATTTGTTCAGTCAAAGACATTCCCAAACACACCATCATCAACAAGTATTTTTTCTTTTTTGGATCCATTAAATGTTAAGCTTTTTTCCCCCTCCTGCTTCCCTCCCTCCCTCCCTCCCCTGATTTTTGTATTTTAATTGCCAGAGTGTGTGTGCGCTGGGCAAGAGCGTGAGTCTTCTCTTCACTTCTCCATCTTGCTGGGATTGGGAGCATGCATGCACGTATGTCAGGTGTGTTGTTCAAGCTGCCAGGGCAGGGATCTGAACCACAGTCAGCCATAAGGGATCAACTCCTTCAGCCACTAGGCTACAGGACTGGTCTAATTAGTGTTATTTTTATGTTTTTAATTTTTTTTTTTTTGGAGAGGTTTTTTATGCTATAGGGCATGTGTGCTCGCCAGACAGACAGAGACAGAGAGACAGAAAACGAGAAATCACCCCCCAGGGGTGATGGTTACGCCGCAATCCCTTCTCCTCCATTCTCCTCTCGGATCTTGGGCACGCACACACACGCGCCCAGCATGAATCTAAGTCCGGGACTCAAACAGCAGTCGACTACATGGGAGTCCAGCGACATAGCCATTACGCTAACTGCTGGTCCCAGTGTTATTTTTAAAAATAATTATTTATTTAACTTTATTTACTATTATTTTCCAGTTTGATCAGAGAGACAGAGAGAGGGAAAGTGAGAAGGCAAGCCACCAGGATTTGAACCATAGTCGGCCACGTGGGAGTCCAGCACCTTTAACCACCACACCACCTGCCACCCCCTGACTACTGCTATTTAAAAAAATAAATTTTTTAGAAAGAGATTGTTTTTTGTCTCTCACCAGAGAGACAGAGAGAGAGAGGCTGCAAGCGAGAAATCACCCCCGAAGGGGGATAGCCACACCACAATCCCTTCTCTTCCATTCTCCTCTCAGGATCTTGGGCATGCAGACACGTGCCTGGTGTGAGTTTTAAGCTGACAGGTCTGGGACTTGAGCCACAGTCGACTATGTGGGAGTCCAGCAACATAACCATGACTCCACCTGCTGGTCCTGATTATTGTTATTAAATACCCTTCCGGAGACTCTGCCACTAACTGCTGCCCTGCCCTGCCCTGTGTCTGATCTAGCTTTTGATTCGCAGAATTGCTGAGCCTCCCAGTCTGCAAAGTGCTCAGGAAGTTCATCGTCATATTTGCTATGGCTTCTCAGGCCTTCTGGTCTCACTTCCTGTACACCCAAGCCCATGCTAGCAACCAAGGACTCAAGCCCCGAGACGCAGGCTCAGCTCCGAAGAGCTCAGTATCCCAGTGCCTGCGTGCATGGACTTTAGTGGACAGTCCTGGCTGGTGCACCGAGCACGGTGGCAGCCCAATGTGGTAAGGAGGGTTCCTATAGGTAGGCCTGACCTAGCAGTAAGGACAGGGGAACCGCACAGGTCAGTAGGGCCAGGGGAGCAAAGCAGAGATAAGCTTAAAGAAGAACAGGCAGAGGGACCAGCAGTTAGCATAATGGCTATGTCGCTGGACTCCCACATAGTCGACCGTAGTTCAAGTACCGGACCCGGTGGCTAAACTCATGCCGCGTGCAAGATCCCCAGAGGAGAATGGAGGAGAAGGGATGGTGGTGTGGCCATCCCCCCTGGGGAGTGATTTCTCGCTTTCTGTCTCTCTGTCTCTCTCTGTCTGTCTAGCGAGTGCATGCACCCTATAGTGAAAACTCCAAAAAAAGAAAAAAAAAAGGGAGAACAGGCAGATTTTGTCAAGAACTGTGTCTGGGACAGGTCAAGATCTCTGCGCTTAGAGTCACAGCTCTCTACTTCCTGGCTGTGTGACCTTGGAGAAATAATTTGATTCAACTGAGCCTCATCTTCCTTATCAATAAGGGACACAGGGCTGGCAGGTGTTGTGGTGGTTAAGGAGCTGGACTCCCACAGTACTGACCATGGTTTGAGTCCTAGACCTGGCGGCTTGAAAATCATGCCAGGTGGGAACCAGCAGTTAGCGTAATGGCTATGTCGCTGGACTCCCACACAGTCGACCGAGGTTCGCATCCTAGACCTGGTGGCTTAAAACTCACGCCGGGTGTGTGTGCGTGCGTGCCCAAGATCCCGAGAGGAGAATGGAGGAGAAGGGATTGCGGCGTGACCATCCCCCCTGGGGGGTGATTTCTCGCTTTCTGTCTCCTATGTCTCTCTCTGTCTGTCTGGCGAGCGCACGCGCCCTATAGCGAAAACCTCTCCAGAAAAAAAAAAAAAAAGAAAGAGCATGTACTGCAAGGTTATCGAGCTGTGAGTAATAATAATAGTAGGGAGAATGAAGGAGAGGGGATTGTGGCATGGCCATCTCCCCGGGGGTGGTTTTTCATTTTTCCTTCTCACTGTCTTTCTCAGGTGAGTACACATGCCCTGGGACAAAAACCTAGAAAAAACCACACAAGGATGACCTCTCAGCAGGGACCGTGGAAGGGTTCATGCTGCCAGCCGTGTGGTGTCTTGCCCATAACACGTGCTCGATAAACGGGAACCGGCAGACAATGGGGAGCCGTAGGAGGGTACTGAGCAGAAACGACTGGGGGAAAGAAAGGGCCCACCGCGGCCACGTGGAGGCCGCACTACAGGGAGGCCTACGTCCCGCTGCCCGCTGGCCCGACCG